AAAAAAGCCTGTTGCGTGGGTTTATTGGCAAGTAATTGAACATGTAAGGTTACTTTTCTTTAATTTTTGTTCTAGATATATATATCTTAATACTGAAATATCTACGTATACATTAGGCTCCTAATAATACTTATGGTAATGACTATGGCTTGATTGGTGCAGATTTTAGTAATTCAACCATTCCTCTAGACATACGTTTATCATTTTATGGATTTGCTCAATACACTAAGTTCATTCGCCCAGGTATATATTTTACTCACGTATTTTCATATTTACAGTAAATTTTCTACTAAAATGCTATTTTAAAATTTCTTTAGGATATCAAATCATTTCTTCTGATGATTGTGATACTCTTGCCGCACAAGATGCTAGCAAAAAAACGCTTGTTCTAGTTTGCACAAATAATAATAATGCATCAGACGCTTGGAATATAAATGTTTCTAAGTTTAATATCAGTTCATTTAAAGCCTACCGTACATCTAATGACAATGAAACACTTAAGTTACTACCAAATACGTGGAATATTACTGATGGTATTTTAACTTATGAAAGTCCAGCTAATTCTATTACTACTTGGGTTTTTAATATAACTCAATAGATAAATTAAGAACATCTTTGTGACCATATTGAGGTGCTAGAATAAGCTAATACACTCAAAATTTCTATATTAACTTTTACAAAAAGTGCTTTTACTTAATAGTTTAATAATACATACAGTATACTGTCAAAACTGATAACCTGTCAAAGCCGATTAAAAATTTTCTATTTTACTATATAAATTCTTTTTAAACATAAACCTCTCAAAACTGATTAAAATTTGGCCACCAGACATATTGGTCGGTTTGGGGAGGGTCAACAGTATAAAGTTAATTTTTTAATATTTAATATATTTTACAAGCGAAAATGGGATCTGTCAAATTTTTTAATATTTTATCAAATGATATCAGTTTCTTTATCCTTATTTCAGTATTTATTTATCCTTGAATTGTTTTACTACGACTACATACCTGATATCATAGTTTATTCATGCTACTGTATTTTCATAATATAAATTAAAATTATGAATAGTTAATGTTTATTTAAGTACCTAAACAATACATATTCTTTATATATGTTGTAAGTGGATTCGGAATTCTGTAGGTTCCAAATCCACTAAAGTGGGAATCGGATCTTAAAACGACTTATGTGGTGATGGAATTTAATGATTGCCCAAATCTTTTGATTAATAAATGATTATATGTATTTAAAATATATTTAAGTGTAATCGAATAAGTAATTATTTTATCTTTTTAATTCTTTTCTATTCAAAAATTGCAACTCCAGAAGAATACCCATTTATTTCAAGACAAACATTTAATGATTTAATTAATAAATATCTTGAAGGAAAATCATTAAGTAGACGTCGTAAAAGATTTATTTCACAAGCTGATTACGACCTTCTTATTTCTGTACTTCACGAACCTAATAATGTAAACTTCGGAACCCTAATGATCGACATTGGATTAAAACTTCGAGAATTAGGAACCGAAACAAATCCAATTACTCAAATTATTACTGTTACGAAGAACGGAAATGGATCAGAATTGATACGTACAATATGCCCTTTTAATCGCCTTTATGATATATTATATAAGATTCATGTAGGCGTTTTAAACATGTTGGAGCATCCAAAATGTGGGATGTTGAAAGTTTTTTTTTTTTTATTTAGTTTAGCAACAAACGGATTCGTTTTTTACTAAACCTAATATGGCACACCTTCGGCAATGCAATACTAATTAAATTTTTTTTTTAGATTGGAAAACAATATAACTATATTCCACAATCATTTATCATACCAAATCCAAAAACTATAGCCTTAAAATTTAATAAAAAGCAATACACTTTATATTTAACAAACATATAGCCATAAAAATCTTGAAAAACACTCTTTTAACTCTTTCCCGTAACTCACTCCACTATACTGTGCCAAAATAGAAAAAAAAGAAAACAACAA